TTGCATTCTGACAGCAGAATTGCAACTCCCTGGCCAGCGTACTGCTCTGAACTGTCTTCTCTTGTGAGCAAGCATTGCTCCCTGTGAAATGCACAGAAATCCTGTCTCATCTATTGAAATAATCTGCTTGCCCGTGCCAACAAAAACAGCCACAGAAGAGTAAGGGAAAGATACCTCGGAACCAAAATAAAGCTGTTTTAATTTTTGACAGTCCTGAAAGTGTTGGTGCAGGGGAGGCAGTGGTAAAGCCCTTCACTTGTCCATACATAAATCAGAGCTGTGCAGAGCGTTTCAGAGGTTGTTTATGGCAGGCACAGTTGTCCATATCTCATAAAACAGACCTGGAATCGACAAGTCAGGATATGACTGTGCTAAAATAACATTTGGGGTTTAGAGGAGAAAAAAACTACTGCAAGCAAGGATGAAAAAGCTGTTCTTTCCATCTTCCTGGCTCCAGTGTCTTATAACTTCCTTTCATGCCTGGTTGAAACTCTCTGTTATTTCATGGCCAATGAAGGGCGTACACTGAGAATGCATGAAGTGAGATGTAAGCATGAAGGGGGCCTAGTAGAAAGGACTTACAAGCATCTCAGAAACTATACGACAGTATTTTAGTCCCTGTCCCTTCCCTCACTGTGTTCATCTCGGGTTCAAATACCCAGATAAGCAGAGAGATGTCTGAGCCTAGCATAGATGATGTTCATGAATGTTACAAATATTGAGTGCTGTTCATTACATGTTCTGGACAAAATCCCATTAATTACAAAAATAAATGAATCGGGGAGATTACAGTATGAAGAAGTATGCTCGATACTGTTCCTCTGCTACTCTAGTGCTTTATTTTCTCCCCTTTACAGAGGTGTGAGTGGGAAATGAAGACCAGGAACTTTTTCCTACTTGTTATTTACCCAGGCTTAGGAAATGGAGCAAGAGCCGTTGCTCTCCTCTGGGGGATGCATTACACTTGGGCGCAATATGGGTGCCACATGACTGGGATTCTTTGGTTCAGTCCTGTCTCCTAGCAAGGCAGTGTCTGGTGCAGGATGTGTCTTTATGAGAACAGATCTGTTTCTCACAGAATCATCAGTTTCATGTCTGTAGGACATATTAGCTATGCTCTAATGACAACTCCAGACTAGTGGAGGCTGGTGCTAAGACTTTTGCAGCTATGTAGATGATGCCAAATTCAAAAAACCCACACGGCAGAAGCTGTATGTCAGGTTAAAGGTAGATGTGGTCAATCCAGGCATGTAACTGAAGGAAGTGGATGTACCAACAGGCCTATGAATACTAGGATAAGCTTGGCTTTTACCACAAAAGTAATTTCATTTGGATGCACAGTTAAAAATGTGTTTGCTGTGTGTACTCACTTCAACTCCGAATGAGCTGTCAGTGGAAAAATTCCCTTGTGCTTCTCCACCACACAGACTCCTGGAACCCTCAGAGGTGCTGTGGACACACCAAACAAAGCAATGTTCATGCAGCATGCATGACCAAAATGCCTTTTTGCATACAAATAATACAGATATAGATACAGATGTCTTCCTTTGCCAAGATGCAAGCCATCAAAAAGTGCCATTCTGAAAGGCTTGGATAGTTTAAGACTGAAGGAAATAGAAAGCAAATGCTGAGATTTAGAAAGGGACTAAAATCAAGCACATAGATGATGGCAAGCACAACAAGTGTTTTTGCGCAGTGAGAGTGACTTTGCCAGTCAGCAGTGTACCTGGAGGAACTTGATGAAATGCTAGAAAACTGTGAGGAAGTGGAATGACCATCAAAAAGTCTCCAGTMTAGTCCTTGGTCTTTGCGGGGATAGTCCTAATGGGAGGCTGAGGAAGGGCAGTTACTATCAGAATCTGCATTCTTCATTTCTTTCCCATTTTCCTTTTTTTTTTAAAAAGGCATATTTCGTACCTTCAACAGCTTTGCAGACACAGCTGTTGGGCGTAGGCTTCAATCATATTTAAGTCAGTGTGTAATACCAGCTTATGAACAGCTGCCTATAGAATGCATACAATTTTTTTTCCTTAAAGACCTTTTCAGTTAGCAGAAAAGTCCAAATGAAAGTCCAAAACTGGTGTTTCCAGTTCAAATTGAAACCAATTTAACTTAGTAAGTCTGTTTTCAATTTTTTTCTTTCAATCTCTGAACTTTACATAACGGGTAAATAAGGAAATAGGAGCTTTGTTCAAAGGAGGACTGGATATTTTAAAATATGTGCCTTACTTCTCCCGAATGGTAGAAGTCATTTCTGTGGTAGTTTCTACACAATACGGAGTCTGCTTGTGTGGGTAGACATATTGACTTCAAATTCAAGAGCAGTTTTTTCAAATTTAGTTTTGCAGCCTGACAATATTTCTCTGTGTTCTGATATAAGGCAGATAGGGTAATTATGAGCATCCCTAACTGAAAGGGTCATAATAATCTGTCTTCTCTTGAGATGAATCCTTGYTTTTTTTTTTCCTTCCATCCTGAACCAGTCTCTGCTTCATCACTCATTTCTGTATTAACCTATCTTAAATCCCTTCCAAGGCAAAGCTTATTCTCTAGAATAGGCCCAAATTTTTGGAAGCTGTGTCCTGAACAGGGGAGGCTTTTTCACGGCCATATAGTCAGATGCCTACTACTAAAGACCTTGATTTTTCTTAAAGATGCTTTGAGAGATGAGTGTGAAAGGCACTCATAACAACTGGATAATACTGTTTTTATGTGTTAGAATCTTTCCCTCTAATGTAACTCGCTTACAAGTCCTCTGAGACAGCTGCTCCTGCTCTCATAAATTGCTTCATAACCCTATAAATAAGCATGAATATTACTAAACTACTTAAAAATCCAGGTACAAACTTTGGGCACATAGGTTGAGCCACACTAGACAGGAAAGGGGAGGCTGAAGATGATCACGTATTTAATTTTAAACATGGAATAGCCATTTTGAAAAACTGTAGAAAGTTTCATTTTTACATTTATTTATATTTATTTTATAATAGGATTAAAGAATGAAAGTAAAGAAAGTCATAAACCAGCTGCTGAAAAGAAGTTTTAAACACAGTGAAAAACAAAAATAGTGTTTTGGTTCAACCCTAAGGAATTTTTCATTTTGTTTTATTAATTCAAATGATTTTGTGATCTGATATGAAAACATCTTACTTTTCTATTCTGCTCCAAACCATCTTAACACCGAATCACAGAATCATAGAGTCAATATGGTTGGAAGAGGCCTTCAAATCATCAAGTCCAACCATAACTAAAGACTTTAGAATAATACTTTAGAACAATGTAAAATGTTTGCAGACCTGCAGTAACATGCTCTGTATGTGCTTTAGAGAATGATTATCCTAGAAGATGCCTTGAGGATAAGGAGTATACAAGATTGTTATGTTTTTTGCAGTTTGTTATAGCGAAACTTTTAGATACATATTCCACTTCTTTCTGAAGCAAGTCCATCTTTCTAAAGATCATATATAAAAATATAGTTTACATACATAGATTGGTCTAAGCTAGAGACATTGCAGATAATTTGGATTGGAAATGGCTAGATTTGTAAAGACAATGGTAAAAAATGTTTGTGTAAAGAGCTTCAACATGGATAGAATAAATATCTTCACTTCTGCACAAGGCTGGTGGTGGCCTGCCTTTCTAAAAGTTTTGTAAATATTTTGAACCTCTACTTSAGTTTGCAAAACTGTGGGTAGAAAATCTCACCAGCATAGGCATGTCCATGAGGTTGTCCATACTGTCTGCTGCTACTCATCAAGTCAGGAATCAGAGACTTTTCCTCTGTTTATTTCATAGATTCCCTGATCAGTTTATTTTTATCAGGTTATTTTTTTCTTCCTTTTTTATGTTTATTTTTTTCCTTGTAAGTACCCTCCCTCCCCCCAAACTTTTGTACCCTGTGTCTTAGTTCATCAACAGTTTAGGTCATACACATTTMACAGAAGGACACACAGAAAAAAACATGGTTGTTTTTAAGTGGCTTTGGGCATGCAAAAGCCACGGCAAGCAGCTAACCCCATATGCACTCGTTTAGCGTTGTTTTTGCATGCGAGGAAACGYAGCTGAGCGCCAGCTCTGAAGCCTGGCCGCAGGGCGCTCGCGACTAATGGTGCAGAGCTTCTGTGCGGGGCCGCAGCTTTGGGCTTTGGCAGCTGCTCGAGGCCAAGMGCGACAACCAGTCGGGATTTCTCTCTTCACTCGGCATTAACCACAAAAATGGCCTCGCACGGAGGTTGGCCTCACTCCGGCAACGTCATGGCCACCGCGCGGCTGCCGCCAGGGACAAGGCGCCGCTGCCTCCCCGCCACAGAAGAGGCTGTGCCTGGGCCGCTGTGGCGACCTGTTTGCAGGAACCCCCTCCAGCCACGTTGCCCAGTTACTTCTGAATGCCAGGCCTAACAGCACGGATGTAACTGGCCTGGATACAATGGAAAGCTTCAGCATAACTTTTTTATATATATATTTAATCAACAACTTTTTGAGATACAGATCTACAAAGTGTCATGCAGCACTGTAGTTATTCCTATAGRTTAAGTAATTTGTCGTCCTATCGGTGGCAAAAGCCTCGGCTGAGGGGCTGGCTCAGTCAGTAAATCAGCTTTACTTAAGCCAGCTGTGGCATCTGGCCCCTTGCCATAAAAAGGCCATTTGGGCCTTTGAGGGGGTTTTCTGCCATGCAAGGCCAGTTACTTCTATTCTTTTTGGTAATTTTTTTTTTTTTTTTTTTTAAAAACCTTTGAGTAGGCCAGCCTGGAACAGCAGCACTTAGAGGGAAAATAGGGGGACTGGGCTGCCACTATCTTGGCAATCATAGGGGACAAGGCTCCTCTTCCCAGGCCGTGTGCTGTGCCATATGGTGGAGCTGGAAAGCGTAAGGAACGATGTAAAGACCCCATCTGGCGGCGTGCTGGCGGCCGCCATCTTGAGGCGCGGCGCCGCCATATTGGGGCGCGGTGCCGCCATCTTGCCACTCGGTGGCAGCCATGTTGTGAGGCAGCGCGCTGGCGGGGGGCGCCTGCAGCGTGGCGCCCTCTGCTCGGGAGTGCCGCAGCTTTTCCAAGGAGCCCCCGAGGAATTCATTGCTTGCCTCCRGTCAGAATGGCCCTTGCTGCAAAGCTAGAGCACGTCCAGGTAGGTGTGAGTGTGGCAGCTTGCCTCTGTGGCGTGGTTTTCAGAGGGAAATGTAGCTGCCCACGTGCTGTGTGGGCCTGTTCAGGTGGGTGGGTAGGCTGGTCGTGGGCAACATGCTCCTTTTCTTGTTTGTTTTTGCATAAATCTGATAAATTTACTTGTCCTGTTGCACTGCCTTGTATGGCATCACAGAAGAAGGGGACAGAGCAGAGAAGCACTCTTATGTGGAAAAATAYCCATGTTTTCTTCAACTAGCTCAGTGGGGTTGTCATTATTACGCTGTTTAATCCTGTAGTATTTTGAAGGTGACCTGCATTGCCTAGACTCTAGGTTGGTAAATGTTAAACTTATTTCAGTTATATTTATGRAACAAAATTGATATTTCTAAAGCAGTATCTTATGTGCATATGGAAAGTTGGGGGAGGAAAATAAGAATTTTGATGTCTGCTTTTATATGAAATTAGGGCAAGTACTACTGTAGTATCTGCAATAAATGTTTGTTAAGGGAAGATGTTTTACATTATTCAAATCTGTGCTACCTGATTAGCATTTATAACTATCTAAATATGCCACGTGGTTGAATTACAGGGCATGTGTGTACATGAAACAGCACGACTGCAGAAAATAACTAGCAGTGGTCTGTAACTTAAAGAGGATCAAAACCAAGAGCTGATTTGACCAGTGGGCTCTAATAGAGGTAAGTAGTTTGAGTGCTTGTCATCTACCCACATGATCCTCATGTTGGCAGCCTGTTGAAAGTGATGCGTGGGAAACTAGTGTAAAGTGCTGATTTATTTTATGTTAATGGGGAAAAGTCCATATTGTTCAAATTAAATCCTAAAGCAGAAACAAATCATCCCACCGAGCCCATCCTATGGAGTTTCATTGAAACAGTTAGTGGTCTCTTTCGTGACCTCAGAGTTGTAAAAATTAAACAATGTTACGGGGCTGCTGTTTTCAAGTGCCTCTGGCTGCTGAAAGCGGCTGCGATTCTCCTACAGATGGCTATTTAAATTAAAAGCCAAGTGGAGAGATCACAGCAATTAGTGCACATTGGCTTCTAGCTGCATTGGAGTGAATAATGTGGGAGAAGCGAGCCAGGACTGTGCCTCGCTCTGTGCTTTTTCCCACCAGCACTTCTCAATTAAAAAAAAAAAAAAAGAGGGGGAAGAAAAAAAAAGGGAGGGTGGAGGGAAGAGGAGGGAGAATTTCTTGCTGCCTCACTTGAACAAAATAAAAGAGATTATGCAAAGATAGACTAAAGTGAGAGGAAAGAAAAAATATTTCAAAGGGACAAACAGTCTATTTGAGGGCTCTGACTGAATCTGTAGTACAAAGTTTTTTCTGCTTTTGCCATAAACTGCCTCCCTACAGGCTTGTTGTAGGGATTAAAGATCTCCCTCTTTTTTTCTGTGTAGCTTGAGCCCTAGGAGAGCATAATAGGACTAAAGTATTTTGAAGTGAAGGGCAAAGTGATTTATAACCTTGAGGAATAGAATTTCCTGAGGAAAAATGGAGGGGCAGAAGACTTATGAATTTGCAATTCATTTTATATTGAGGGAACACTTTTGTTTAAGAGGCATAAAACCATGTAACATCCACYGAGAGGCAGTTTTTCTGTTGTTCTTGAAAATCTTTGAATCTGCATTTTCTCAGTGGTTTCTAACCTCTGGAATGACAAAAGAGAGCACAAAAATTGTGTTAGGAGTTTTGGGGAGATCTGCTCACAGACTTCAAGTTAAGAAATGCATCTGGAGGATGATCAAATATAAAGACAGTGTTATTTCATTCAGGTCCTTTTCATAATGAGCAGGCAAAACATTGACAAAATATCTCTGTTTCATGGCCATTATTCATGTAAATATTCAGCATTTGCCTCCACCAGATGGAGTTATAAATCTGTTTGTCTTATGCTATTTAGGGGCTTGCCATTGGCATTTTGGGACTGGTAATCTGTAAATTAGTGGAGTTTTTTTAACTAATGATACAGTGAAAAAGGTTATCCATGGAAAAATCAAAAATGGGGATTGTTTTATACACTGCTGTTACAGCTTACTCAAAAATGAGTAAGAGGTCCCAACTAACAAATCCAAAGCTGAAATGCTGCTCATAGTGTCTGAAGAATGACAAGGAGACAGACCTTGAAAATCTTGGAGAGGTTTTGGCAATTGAGGGAGATTCCAAGGGCTGGAAGAAAGCAAATGTCACTCCCGTTTTCAAGAAGGGCAAGGAGGAGGACGGAGAACTACAGGCAAGTCAGTATCATCTCGTATCATCTCAGTCATTGGGAAGACGATGGAATAACTCGTCATGGATGCCTCAGTCATTGGGAAGACGATGGAATAACTCGTCATGGATGCCATCAGCATATGAAAGACAAGGCAATCAAGGGTAGTCAGCATGGATTTATGAAGAGAAAATCATGCTTGACCAACCTGAGAACCTTCTACAGTGAGATGGTGAATGAGGGGAGAGCGCTGGATGTTGTTTACCTCGAGTAAGGTTTTGGATAGCATCTGCTGCAGGCAAACTGATGAAGTGTGGGGCAGGTGAGTGGTCAGTGTGCTGGATCAAAAGCTGTCCTAGCTGGCTCAGAGGGTTGTGGCCAGTGGCATGAAGTCCAGCTGGTGACCTGTTGCTACTGGTGTTCCCCAAAGGTCAATGCTTGTGTTATACCTGTGGAGAATGGAAAGCCACAAAATATACTCTGCTGTGTGAGAACACTTGACAACTGCATGAGTCTGGAGTTTGTTTTGACTGTTTCATTTCATGACGAGCGTTGTGGAAAGGACCCAAAGTGAATCAATGCCCAAGGGCACAACCAAGCGATCTCAGATTTAGCAAGTTATTTCAAGTAAAGGTTACTGGGGCCACAAGGGGAAGCAAAACTTGTGAGGAAGAGTTTCTCGAGCTGATTGCAAGCTCGTGAAAGAAGAGAGCAAGCTGATGCCAGCCAGCTGTGCAAGCTGGTGACAAAGGCAAGAGGTTATGGAGCTGACCCTTGACACTAGCTGTTGAAACTGCCTGGCATGAAACCTCCTGTACYGCTAACAGCGGAAAGACTGGGAACAACTGCTGGTGCCAGCAGGGGGGTGAGGAGGAGCCGCCAAGCTGCGAAGCAATTCCATCAGAATTTATTTACCCAAAGATGGCATGAAATACAAAACAATCCAGAGGAGTCAGCCGGACTGTGTCCACCAACCCTGGAGGGATTTGCACCACTTAGTGTAGGAAAGGAACCACTTAACATTGGAATGTTTGGGAGCATGGCTATTTACAACCAGGTGGTAAATGACAACTATAAACACTGTCATGGCAAAACAGTTGGTTTATAATGCTGGTGAATAACTTGGACTATTCATTTTATTTCAAGGCAACTTAAGATGAAACTGTAGCCTAGCCACAGCATGATTTTTGCCCTTCTCTTGGGTACATTGTAGCACAGAATTATGGTACGTTTTTCTCCTTCCCTAACTCCCATCTCAGTATGTATTCCCAGCTACATACATGCAGGTCAGACCTGTATTTCCTACTCCTTTTAGACCAGCAAAGCCCTGCATGTCATTTATCTTTTTTCCAGCATATGCTCTTAGAAATACCTGTATCTGGTGCTCTTAGAAATACCAGTATCAGATGAATTTTTAGCAAGCTTCCTGTTGAGCTTAGTGTACTTGTATTTCCACCCTMCTAGCCTTGGTGTTATCCTCTTCCTTCACATTATGATTTCATTRAATACTTCTGGGAAGTGCTTTAATCTGGAAAAATATGTGATGTGTTAAGAGAAGAACATTAAGGCCTGTCTGTGGGACTATAGGAGTTATTCTCTATGGTGCCTTCTGCAACAGAAATACTGCAATCTTGCAGCATGTGGGGGATCTTAAATGATGACCAATCCTTTCGAGGTCTGGCAGCAAAAGTAACTTGGGATCGCCKTCTATTTCTTACTAATAGAAACTTCTGTTCAGTATGTTAATATAAAATACAGAGGATATGTGGCAAAATTAACCTTTTTAATGATTGGGCATACTTAGCATGCTAACTTGGTGTTGCRTTAATGCTATTTCTGAGGCAGTTCAGGATTGATGTTCAGTAGTACATAAAGACAGTTCAATAATAAGCCAAGTGTGCTTAAGGTTTCTACAGGTTTGCAGTCAATCTGGACTTGCTTCTTGCAATTTGCTTTCTTAAATACGTCTAATTTTAGCAATGTTATTTAAAGCCTAATGGTTGTGATATGCAATAATATCAAATCAACTTGCTTTTTTTTTTGTATTAATGACCTTACTACTACATTAAGATTTTTTGCTATATACTGTGGTAATACCTTAAAAATTGTGATAAATAACAGTAAGATTTAAAATTTAATATCAGAAGTGACTGTGTGTTCAGGCAATGCACATACGTACTCTTCTACCATCTCCCAAATATGTTCCATGTTACAGCTGCCCAAAATTTGACTCTGATATCTTAAGAAACTCTTATTTTGATGAATACCTGAAATTCAGTGTCATTTTCACCTCTTCAATTACAAGTTGTTTCATTTCCCAGTTTTAATTACAAAATCTGCTTCAGGAAAGAGGTGACAAAAGTTCTGAGCACTGAGATGTTCTCTTTCTCTTTCAAGAAGATGTAACTAAGAAGAGGTACTTTAATTGATTTAACTTTTTTCGTGTGGAGAGTAGTTAATTCCTTCCYTTTGGGTGCACAGACACTACCAAAAAGAATCTCAATTCATTCTACTTGAATTTGAGGCATTCTTTATATATGTTTTCGAACATGGTGACTATAAATGAATCACATATTTAAAGATTAATAGCACCAAGTGCTCTGAGACTGGGGAGAGATCAGTGATTTGAAAGATTTATTCTTATTTGTGCTGTGTGGGCTATCAGACGTGCTGGGATGGTAGTAATATGTTTTCATTCTCTTCACCATCTTTGGAAGATCTGCTAACATCTTTGCAAAATCTGTCTAMTCAAAATGATCTCATTACCCTTTTGGGATATTGCTGATTAGCTTGGGGTGTGTGTGTGGTGGTCCATAGCGTGACACTTTGTGTATGTCTTTCATGTGATTGAGTTGGATCGTGGTTTAAGTGCTCAATATATGGAAGTATCAAGTCCTCAATCACTCGTAACGTGCACTGAACAGATTSTGTTGATGTCAGTGAATTTTGAATTAGGTCTTCATATGTGCCTTCATTTGCCCTTTTTGTGCATAAGTTGATGGCATTGGTTAAGGAAACAGATGCAAACTTAAGTTGCTGTGTTTTGCCATCTTTTTGATAGAGCTCTGTAAAGTATCTAATTTGCCTATAGATAAAATCTGTATGATTATATGTACAGAGCACTAATTCACACAATGTTACACACCTCTGAACCTGATCCTCTGGGCCTGTARAATTTCTTATTTAAAAGAATCATCAAGATATAAAGCCAAGGTATGTTAYAAAAACAGTATTTCTGTATCTACACATTTTGTTGTGAAGTATGTGGTAAAAGGAAGGGGAAAGACACTTGATAAACTGGATTTTAAAATTATTTTCTTAAAGAAAATTAGGGGGYAAGTCTTCAGTGTTTGAGTAATGAACACCGAAAGGTGAAGCTGTTGTAGAATGAATTTGAAACAGCTCGCACTAGGGGGCACTGTTGACTGCTGCACCTCTGTCAGTTCTTGTTAGTGCTGAAGGGCTTSTGCAAATAGCATTTTGAAAAGACTGAGAATGACATTAGCATCATTTGTTTTGGGAAACTTAAAATCAGATATATACCTAACAACTTCAGGCCTCACATATAACAAATAACTGCTTTCCCTCCTCCTCTTCAAGAAGAATGTATTCATGGTTTGAACATTGTCCTTCCTGAGAGAGTTCAAAAGACTTTTGTGAAATGTTAGAGTATCCCATATATCATGTCATAGTTACACTCATCTGGTTCAGTATATTTTAAAACAAAGGTCACACGTGCTGTAAATAACGTCCTTCCATTTGCAGATTGTTCAGAAGAGMATTCCCCCCACATATGAGAAGCTAGAAGAGTTTTGGTGATCCATATGCTGAGTAAAAGGGAGAAGCTGTTCTTCATTCTACCCAAAATATGTTGCTTTGATAAACATCATATGTCTGAGAAACAGTTGAAAGAAAAAGCATCCACAACAAAGGGTAACAATAATAAATAATAAAAGGGAACATTATTTGCTCTTCTCTATTCTTCTGTCTCCTAAAACCAAACAGTAACGTATTTGTGATCGTGCTTGAGTATCTTGATACCTTTTTCTGTCATCCTGTTCCCAAAACAAGTAAATTTAAGTTTGTTTCAAAGACTTAACACCCCAGTTGTAGATGTAAACTAAAAGGTACAAACCAAGATTTTTCTTGATATGGTAAGCTCATGCTGAGAATTTCAGTATTTAGAAGAGGAAATAAATAATCAGGAAAACAAATACATTTCAGTTACTGAAAACCGAACTGCTAAGCAGCATGATGCTTTACCTAGCATTTTTTTGTTACAAAAGCAATTGTTCTCATACTACAAAACTAAACCACAAATCAAAGCAAAAATTACATACCTTGTTCTGTAACTTTGATGACTGATGACAAGTGATTGGCATCTTCCTCCCTAGATGTATTGCATATAAATTATATTATTCTTCCATGTTGTTCAGCCTTCAAATGAGGGACAAGGAAAGCCTCAACTGAACATGCTATATTTAACCTGAAGCTTGCTTGCATATCTCTGAACAAATAAAGTTGTATTTCCAGTTGATTAAAAATACAGCATAGCTCTTGTAGTGTCAAGATGTGTACCCAGGGATACAAAAATAGAAACATCTCATGATATGTAGTGAAGAATTGGGCAGTTTTCTTCTATAGTCAGTGGCTAGAAAACAAAGTTGGGAGCAGGGAGTAAGTGCGACTGAGATGTCATCTCATTTCTTAGAAACRTATTTTAGTGACTAGGGTTGGATTACGGTATTAAACCCTACAACACTGGAGAAATTAAATGTAGGCAGAATTTTAGAGCTTATTAGTAACTACTTGAAGATGAACAAAAAACAAAGAAATGACTTAACATTTGTGCTGACTACTGTAGAACTAAGTACTCTCTCGGTCTCCCCTGTTAGTCTTATTAAATAATTAGCCCAAGCCAGTAAGTAGGTGGATAGACTTTGTACTTTGGCTGTCCTTTAAGAGGACAGCCTTCAAGAGGTTCAAGTCCTTCCTTCAAGAGGTTCAAGTGTTACTGTTTCTTGCTTTCTTTGGGTTTTAAAGTATTTTGTATTCAACATGTACTATCCCAGTAATTAGCAGGAAGAAATAGGTGCAAAAAGCAAGAAATTTTATTATTTATGTAGCCAAAATGAGAAGAATATAATAAGTAGAAGTATTACCTATTCCTACAAACATTTGGCACGTCTGTGAGTAGCTGGGATATAATCAGACATCTACAGTTCAGCAGCCAGCACGAACTGTTCTCACAGCTGTGATGTTAATGGCTCATTTCCACTTTTGGTGGCATTATGTTGACATGGTCAATGCCAGGACCAGTTTCTCCCAGCAGCAGGGTTCTCTGTAAACAGAATTAAACAGAATCTGTCAGAAAGCAAGCTTTTCTTAGAAGCCATCTGTCTGATCATGGTTTTTCCTTCCTTTGCCAGGTCAGAATATTTTGAGAGCTATCAAGTAGGCAGTGAAAATATGATATAGACTTTTTTAAAAAGAAAAAAAGAAAAAAACAGTTGAGTAGCTGAGATGCACAGAGAGAGCTCACTTCTACTTACTTTAAGCTTACTTTAAAGACTTTAAAGATCTATAGCCATCAAGAATGTGGTACCTTCTGCAGCTATTGCAACCTTTGCTTGGCACTGCACACCTCCTAAGTAACTGAGGCCCTTCTCGGTACTGAAGTCCAGCGCTGCTTATAGATGTATAGGGTCTCATCATGGCWTTACAGTGCACCAGCTTGTGTTGTGTAACTCAAGTATTTTTGTGCAAGGTAAATATGCACTGTTCAAATAGTCCAAATGGCTTCCTTTGTAGTCACGCAAAAAAGTTTGCATGGGTTCAAGATTTGACTTCAGATCACTTGAAGTCTAGCATTACTTTAGTTAACAGCCAGAATCCACTGCTGTTCTCTATATCGGTTGTGCTGTAGATATTTCAAATTTGGTTATATTGGCTGCCCGTATTTAAAGGACCAGGTAAAGCCTCTTTAGTGGGAGCTCAATAAAGCCTATTTAGTGGGAGTCTTCCCCATTTTTCTATGATATTAACACTTGCTTGTATTATGGCTAACTCTGGTTATATCTGTATAACATATAAGCTGCACATGTAGTTTAAGCTGGTTTATGCTATAGGGCCTCTGATAATTAGACGGGGCTTCAGAGAGGAAAGCAGATGCRGTTGTTAATGGCAGTATGAGTGTCTGGTGATCTCCAAGTGAGTGAGAGCAAGAAGAAACTGAAGGTTTCAGTAAATAGTGTGAGAGGCTTCAGGATCTAGGTGAATGCAAGGTTACTGGCTGAAATTAGGGGTATAGTGTATATAGGGATATAGTACAGCATATACCATAGCTGAAACAGCTGTCCTCTCCCTGTTGTACAAAGTGATCTGTAATCTGCTTTTTACTTACTGTGTGGTTACTTCACAATGATAATACCTTCTTTGTGGTGACTAGTTGTGCTGCAATTCAGAAATAAACCTTTACTAAGCTTATCTTGCAAAAATCTTTTTGATTCTTTGCAGCCTAGCTGTAAGCAATGGAAAAAAGCAAATATTCTCAGACTGAAAATAGTCTAGGACAATGTTCTTTTCATTCATTATTTGGAGAGATGGCTTTTTTTTGGTAGCCAARTAGGCATCAAAGGCTTACAGACTTGAAACTGGAAGTTATATAGGATTATGTAGAAAGATTGCAATGAACTCTTTTACTATGAGAACTGGTACGGAACACCCTTTGGAGTTCCCCGTTCAGTATTTGTTATACAGAAACACTACACTACTAAGTGAAATGTTGAAATGTTATGGAATCTATTATGTTTAATTTTATAGGCTGTAACTATAACCATTGACATGCAATTGAAAATTTTAATATTGTAGTTTTTATGCATGATATTCAATATCATATGTATGTTCAAGATAGTTCTGTCATGGTTATGTTTCCCATAACAATGATTATGGGCAAAATAACAATTCTATTACTGTATAGTTTAACAAATAAACCCCACAGAGATTGAATTCTAATCCCATAAATATTTTCACATGAGCGAGGAACAATTGCTAAGTATTGCAGAGCCAGCTGACAGAACGAGTATATGCCAAAAAACTAAGAAACGAAACCCTGCCATGTATGTGCTATATGAACTGCTGGGAACCTTGCAATTCTGGGTGTTCCTGCCTGGTGCCAGAGAACTGTCGTCTTTCATGGTGCTCAGGGGAAGATACATTTTTATGTCTTGCTGACTTGTTCATCTAAAAGAACACGTAATTTTTGTCCTCTAAACACGCTAGAGAATGTATGTTTAGTCCCCTGAAGTGTGGGGAGAGGGAGAAAAATCAGTCTGGGAATAAGTAGTGTCTTAATTTGTATGACTTCCTTCTGAAGGAATGGAACTCCTTAGGTTCAGCCAGAACCTTGAAGTCATGGTTATTGCAAAGCTGCTGGAGCTCAAAGCTAAGAAAAAAATTATTTCTTTATAAATTCATCCAACTTTTAATCAGATTATGACATTTGTAGGAACACGTGAGCTAAAGTCGAAGGAAAAAGCTTTGTGTCTTCACCTTAGGATTTGTTTCTCTTGGTACAATRAGGCCAAGGATTTTGGCAAAGGCTTCGTGGCATTCCCAGATGGGAACTTGTTGTTCATCTCTACAGCTTCATGATATCTTCACCAGTGACAGTGTAGACCTGAGGAACCTCTGCACCGTAGTCAGAACCAAACACTTGGATTCAGTTCTTCTTCTCCCAGTTAAGCTAAGCAGAAGCTAAGCAGGAGGGGACCTGGGCTTAAATAGCTGATGTTCATGGGACCTGGCCTGAAATGGTTTGTCTACTTAGAAAGCGAATGACTGTTTCCATACTCAGTGAGCTCTTAAATTCTGAGCACAGTATGAAGTATTATGAAAATGTTCAGTAAAAGCTTTTCGTGTGACTTGCTTTTTGTGCTTCTGCAGCTGTAGGTTCACAGGCCAGAATAGAGGCAGGTCGTGGATCTGATCTGAGCCAAGTGTGATACGACTTAGGATTTGAAACTATGCTTTCTCCCCTAGCTTGGCATATCAACGCTCACTTTGGCCTGTCCTTTTAGAGAGACATATTTCAGATGGAGTCTTTGGTAGTAAAAATTAAGCATGTGACACAACATTATCTTTCTATCCTTTAGTTTTCCCCAAGTCACCTTAATTAATCAAGAATCCAAGCTGGTAACATGCGCTCCAAAAGAATGAAATACAAAAATCTGTCAGTCACAAGACTACAGCAATGTTGTCAAACCTTCAGTGCAAACGAAGTGAACTTACATTGCTTTTGCTCTGTGGAGCATGTAAGTCCAAAACATAGACAGCTRTTGAAGCTGGAAATCCCAGAGGAGGGTAGAGTTAGCACTGTGGAAACTCCAGTTTTCTGCATTCCGGTAAACGTAAATGTTATCCTTTACTCCATGCCTCTTGAGCCTTTTTAGAAAAGTCTGATAATCTACTCTATAGAAAGTCATTTACAGGTTATATCAAATTGTCAGTATTTTTTCAACAAGCCTTTTAATCTCCAAATGCTTCTGAGTTACAGTGCCAGTGAACAGGCTTAAGGGAAGTGCTATTGAAGATGGTTATTTCATCAGATTCTTCATTGGGCAGAACTACTTATGAGAAAGAGCTTCTGATCCAAGTCTCTCACGTGGGCACATGTAAACATTACTTGCAGCCGATAGACTTTGGAAAGGGGCAAAGTAGATWTGGAAGGGTGAGTTTTAAAGCTCAAGAGTTGAGGCTAAAGCTGGGACTTAGGTATTAGCACAGCAAAGCTGTCATGACCCCTTGCTTGTCATGGTGCAGTCTAGCAGTGCAACGAGGGTGAGTGCTCCACCAGCTCCTGCCCTGTGGCTTGTGCGTGGTTGGACACTGCTGCATGAGCTCGGTCCCTGGTGGGGTCCAGTGAAGAAGGAA